TCGTCGACTAAAACTAAACTAAATGTCATCAGTTTTCGTCGACTAAAACTAGACTAAATGTCATCAGTTTTCGTCGACTAAAACTAGACTAAATGTCATCAGTTTTCGTCGACTAAAACTAGACTAAATGTCATCAGTTTTCGTCGACTAAAACTAGACTAAATGTCATCAGTTTTCGTCGACTAAAACTAGACTAAATGTCATCAGTTTTCGTCGACTAAAACTAGACTAAATGTCATCAGTTTTCGTCGACTAAAACTAGACTAAAATGCTCAGACTTTTAGTTGACTAAAACTTGACTAGACTAAAAAGAGTATGAACGTGACTAAAACTAATAAAAACTAAAATGACAGTTTCACACAAAGACTAGACTAAAACTAAAATTAAAACAGGCCGCCAAAAACAACACTACTGAGACATTATAGTCAATATCTAGGTTGTCTGGTTAAGTCATTCAGACAGTAAATGGAAGGTTAACAGTACCCTCTCCTGGTAGATGTCATTACTACAACATCAAGGTTTGTATTGTTCATTAAAGTTCCCCTGCAGTCACTTTATGCCTTAAAGCTTAGATAATAAAAATTTAATTTTGAAAATAAAAAAATTCATAAAGAGAGTGATTCAGGGCAAGAAACAAATAAAGATGTACATTTGTAGTTTAAAGTTTATTTTATTATTTTATTTTAGTTTTGCAAAGATTGACATTAAAATTCAAAATCAAAGCATGTCTGTTACAATCAGCAATTTGGAGACTTTAGAAATTGGTGATGGACAGATGAGATATTAGTTTATCAATCAAAACTAGGATTAGAAATCAATTCTTGCTGTTCTGTAACAGATGAAACTGAGAAGAGTATCGCAGTGTGCGTCATTCCAGCGTTTCTCGCCTGTAGAAATTCAGATACGTTATTCAAATGAATTGTCAAATATGCTTTAGTGCAAACAGAAAGCCATAAATATAAATGTGTAATAAAATGTGCAAGGTTTGAAACCACCTTTACAGTTCATGTTTTATACTAAATAAAAAATGTGAAATAACTTTAAATAAATGGACAACGTGTATATATTACCTCCATAGCCCATTTCCACACAACGTTCATTTCCTCCTCCATTATTTGGTTCACCAGTATGCCAGTCACTGTACTCAAACTCTGATCCATCACTCCAAAACCAGATATCCTCCTAAAGAACATTACATTAACATTACCAAACTTGTTGCTGTTTCCACCTGTTGATGCTTCTAATTTTATTTTCCTTTTTTATCTTTAAATAAGAACTCTGAGAGGCTATGTTTAAATATACGTTTAATGTTTTAGTGTGAAGCTGCTACTGGTGTTTGTTGGGGCAGTGCAAACCAGTCTTTACACAAGGAGAAAAATCACACGCAATATATCTGACAAAAGCCAACAATATTTAATTTGAACAACATTTACTGTTCATTTAATTCCAATAATACTTTAAGTTTTACATTTATCTGACAGTGGTTGGACTGATACTTGAAGGGAAATGAAAAATCAGCTACCTTAATTGCATCATGAGCACCAATCCAGCTACGGGAGTTGCCATTACCATGTTTTTTCACAAGGGATTTTAGGAAATTGTGAGTGAGTTGACTGTGGATAGATACAAGGTTTCCTCCGAGGTTAAGACATTGTTTCTGTGAGGATAAAGAGTTACGTTGTTAATGCATCGGGTTTCCTTCTGGAGCATCAGTGAGCGTTTGAACTTTTTGTAGAAGTTGCATGCAAGTCCCTCAGTTGTCCTCAGTGTGAGAAGATGGATCTCAAAATCATACAGTCACTGTTGGAAAGGGTTCAAATACGCAAAAGGTGCTGGAAAACTAAAGAATTTGTGGGACCTGAAGGATTTTCGGAAGAACAGTGCTCAGTTTAACTGTTCAGGACAAACAAGGGACTCATGAACAACAATCACAAAACAAAACAAAGCAAAACAAAACAAAAAAATACAGCTGTGGATCATCCAGCAAACAACACAGTATTAAGAATCAAGCATATGCAAACTTTTGAACTGGGTCATTTTTATAAATTCAGTTATTATTTTCTCTTGAGGACTATATGTAAACATATTTTATGTGAAATATCTTATTCAGGTCAGTACTAAATAAAAAATAGCATGCATTTTGTATGATGCCTCTTATTTTGGTAAAAAAATATATAATTTTACATTTTGCAGATACTGAAAAAAGGGTATGTAAAATTTTGACCACAACTGTATCTATATTACAGAGAACACAAACTTACCTCTGCTTCAGCCCATGGTTTTAAGTCACTGAAATATTTAAAACATTGTGCTCCAAATTTCTCCCAGCCCTTGGGGCATTTTCGACCAATGCCGAAAGATTCTGCAAAAAATATTGAATAAAAATTAGGCATTTGTACCAAGGGATTGATGAAATGTATGAATGTAAAAAAGAAACGGCAAACCTTCTCATCATCTGCAGTAAAGTAGGGAAATTCTGTCTATATTGTTCATTTACCTATTAAAGCAGTAACTAAATCAGCATACTATCATCTCAAAAACATTGCAAGAATTAGATGTTTTGTTTCCAGTCAAGACTTGGAGAAACTTGTTCATGCCTTTATCACCAGCAGGGTGGACTATTGTAATGGTTTTTTTCTTTTCTTTTATGTAAAGCACTTTGAATTACCATTGTGTATGAAATGTGATATATAAATAAACTTGCCTTGCCTTGCCTTGCCTTACCTTCAGACTTGACTCCATTTACAACCAACGCAAAAAGTAGGAATGCTGCAGAAATCCACATGCTGACAAAGTCCTATTAATATCAACATTATTATAAATATGATGTAACGAATGTATGCATTAACAAGTTTTAAAACACTAAAAATGGAAATACAATAAATAAAGTCATACCAAGTGAACCAAAATTCAACTGGGCAAGCTGTAATACTCGTTGGTATAACACTCAGATCATTGCTTGAAATCAGCTTTATTTATACCGTTTTTCAGTTATACAGTTGCTCAGTTACAAATGTGTGCAGCTGGTTCAACACCAATGAAAACTTTTCAATCTATCAGTCCTTATTTGGTAAACAAGACCTGATCCTGAACATCCTCATTTGTGATGTTGCATTGTTTTGCATGTGAAGTTCTGTGCAATATTCTTAGCTGATTACTGCTATTTGAAATAAAAGCAAACTATCAAAAATAATCACTGTAAAGTGATTAATTGAAGCTGTAGGATTTTGCTTTAATAGATGTGAATACCAATTTATATGATCGGATATCATATTTTAGAAGATAGTCTTATGAAATGGCAAATAAAACAGTGAGGTTTTACAGTGAACTTCCATTTTACCTGCTGAAAATGTGATGTGAAAAGTCTATGTTGTTGCATTGTTTTGCATGTGAAGTTCTGTGCAATATTCTTAGCTGATTACTGCTATTTGAAATAAAAGCAAACTATCAAAAATAATCACTGTAAAGTGATTAATTGAAGCTGTAGGATTTTGCTTTAATAGATGTGAATACCAATTTATATGATCGGATATCATATTTTAGAAGATAGTCTTATGAAATGGCAAATAAAACAGTGAGGTCTGTTAACTTCCATTTTACCTGCTGAAAATGTGATGTGAAAAGTCTATGTGTAACCTAATAATTTGAAGAAAAAAAAAAATGTTTTACTTAAGTATCCTGTTTACTTTGAACTCAATTAAATATCCATTGTGCATTTAAAAAAAAATCAAATGTTCAATTCAAGTTTAAATTCAATTCAAGTTTTATATGGTAATAATCAAAATAGTGTTCACATCTGTCATTAAATTTTTAACCAAAAGCCCATAGAGAAAACATGGATATTCATTTGAATTAAAAGGCATTAAACTTTTATATAACAGTAAATATGATCTATTTTACATTTTTGCATATGATAAGTAAGTCTTATCACTCTAACATTTCTATTTTTTGTACTAAAATCATTAAGTCTGGGTACGTTATATTCATGATGTATTGAAAAACGAAAAAATATACATTAATTTAGTACAATAATGCTTGCAGAAGCTGTAAAAGAAAAAAGAAGACTGTAAATATTACACAATTTGCAAAGTTCAACTGTTAAAATGTCATGATGATTTTGCATTCATGCCATTATCTTTATCAATCACACCCAGGATGTTATGTGAGTATGAAACATGTTTGCTAAGTTTTGTTTATTACAGTTTAAGAGGGTTTTGGCCACACACTTTTTAAACAAGTCTTATTATATATTATATTATTATTATTATTATTATTATTATTTTATACAAGTGAACATGGCAACACAATCGAGCACACTGCAGGCTATAAACACATAAACAAAACTTAGTATTACTCTCTTTACTCTATTTAGAAAGAAACATAAGAGGAAAAGTTTCAAACAAATTTCAGACTGATTTGCAAATATATCTATTTATATTTCTCCACGTAGTTATGTAAAACAAGGTGTGTTTTCTCAACGTTATCTCGTGAGAATTTGTATGTGCCAACAAGCAGTGTTGGGAAATAACTAGTTACATGTAACGGAATTACATAATTTAATTACAAAATAAAAGTAACTGTAATCAGTTACAGTTACTGAGAAAAAATGTGTAATTGAATTTCAGTTACTTATGAAAATGTTAAGGATTACAAAGGGGGGTTACATCTGATTTTTTTTTCACACACACTCCCACACACAGATTTAATTGATTTCTTTCATAAATTGCAGTGAGTGCTCTAAAATATGAAACACCAACGTTTCAGGAGTTTATAACATGCTTATTTGATAACTCTTTTATTTCCAATGGGTTTATGTAAATGCTTTCTTTTTTAAGATTAACTTTTTTTTCAAAGGCATTGTTAGATTCCAGTGTTTCCTGTCATAGCTATTCAAAGATTTGATTTTTTTTAAAGCAGTATCATAGCTATTAAACTATTTCTTGTTATGATTTTAAATCTGTATTTAACCTCAGAGTGATCTTAAAGTAAGTCTGATTTTGTGGTGGCTGTGCTTCAGAGGGGACATCAGATGCCCATTTTCCACAAGTTGGTATCCTCCTGACTACCAGCTGTGGAGTTTTGTCCACTGTAGAGGACATTATGTTTTAGCGATTTCTCTGAGACGTTACATGTCACAGTTTTAA